GGGAAATTAATGATACAATTCCTTGTATTCAATATTTAATAAGGCAAAGCAATATTTTGAGATATCTAAATTAGCACTAAAGACCTAAGTAATTCAGTGCCTTATCAAGAGAAAAGTAAAAAGACACATCTATTAAATAAACTATACCGATACACCTTTATTTCTTTGGTATGCTAAACACTTAGTTTAAATACATATATGATCTCAATTTCTCAGAAATCATAAACCCCGAACCATTACTTTACATTCATTGTTGATGCATGTGGTATTTAGTGAACCAATGACTCAAGCTCCTCTTATGATTTCTTCCAAAAATATATTTGGGGAAGTCAGACTATAAACTTAACATTAGTAATACAACAGAACTCGGTTACATCTAAGAACAATAAGCTCTTAATAACCAATCTACTTTACAGTAATTCTAATTAAAAGCTGTGTAATACGTAAGTTGTCCATCCCTCCCACAAAGAAGTATGAAATACTTTCTAAGACCTTGGCTAAACAAACAGTATGTCAGCTGGTAATTTAGGTACCTGTATTGCTAAGTGAAATGAGTTATGATATGGCACTTCAGATCACTATACAGGAAACCTCCTCATAACTCACCAGGTTGATGAAAGTTGCAATGTGGATCATACTCTCGATCCCGTCATACCCTTAGCTAAATTAATGCATGGAGCATTAGGGTTATAGACCATAAAAATTGAAACACCAGTTTATATTTAATCTTCAAAATAAAAGCAGCACTATTTAGGGAAATACATCATAAGAGACTGAGGATAATCAGGCTGCGAGCAGCTGCGTCCAACAGCCTGGTTGACCAGTCCAGCAACGAGGAGGCCTGGTCAAGGACCGGGCCGTGGGGACGCTAAGCCCCGAAACCATCTCAAGGTAACCTCAAGGTGGTTACTAGGGTTAAAGGTGTCTTGAAGTTAATAACTAGTAATCAATAAAGGGACTGAAATAACTCTTTATTTCCATGCAATTTTAATATAATTAAATAAAGGATAACAATAAGCATGAATATTTTTGTTTAAAGACAAAATTTTAATTATATAATAATGACATTCTCAGCAATATAGTACTGGATACTGGAGTATAAAATGCATTCTACTTCAAGAATTTATCTGGCTTTAATAATAATTCCAGTTTAATCACTTTGGGCCAGGGTTCATCAAGCATTTATGTGTCCACTTAAGCCTGTACATCTTTCCTCCATCATGGCAGCTTAGTCTGTATTTATCAGTTTATGAGCTTGGAAATGCTTCAAGGTCACTGTCAACACAAGGGTTATTATTGCTATCAAGAACCTTGTAATGCTTCAGAGCTCATAAACTGTTAAATAAACATAGTACAATTGAAGTCGCCATGATTGAGGAGTGATGAACAGGTCTTGTTAGTGGACATTAAGTGCCTGATGAATCTTGGCCCCAAGCTTTGACATGAAGATGAATGACGTAGTTCTTAACTTATACCACCATTAGAGGTTTCACAAGAAGTTAGGTTTTCTTTCCAAATGTGACTCCAAATGCAAACTTGTTTTTGTTACCTCTCTTTGAATATCCACAGGTTCTAAATGTGTGGGCATTCCACATCTGAATGTCCACACGTGCTAAAGTTGTCCGTTTCATCTATCTGAATGAGTACAATATGGACTAAAGACAATTTCACTGCACAGTCATGCATTCATCTAGCTGATAATTAATGCTGTTCTTGGTTTCATAAATACCACCATCTCATTTAAGAGAAATAACACACAGACCCTTAACTTATTTTAATGGATCATACTCACAATACTATTTCTAATAATTCAACAAATCAGTATGTAATTATAATTTGGAGCAATATGTCTTTTGATGATGCTATTATCGCCTTCTGATACTCTAGCATACAACTTTGAAATAATCAAAGATCTAAACACAAACATATTAGCAAATGGCCAGCACAGAAATTATTGTTAAAGACAAATTAATAATAACAAATATTAAGCGTGTAAATATACAGAAGGTTCATATATTAGACTGAAGTGAATAATTATCAAAATAAGGCACCAAGCTGAGATTATGTAACACCATCATTGTCGCTGGATAATCAAAAGGTGCTAAGTATCACTGAGAATGTCAATATGAGAACAAAAGCACATAAGGCAATTGATATCAAAGGTATCTGATATAAAAATCAGCATTGAATGTAATGAATTGACATTTTCTGGATGAGACACGGAGGCTCCCCGGAACTATACCGGGCTGATGTGTATATATTAGACCATGGAAACAGTCAATAGATGGAGTTCTTAGCCTACCAGGGACCATGAGCCAGAACCTGGCCCCCTTAGAGAGTCCCGAGGAACAATGTCCTATAGACACCCCCATGTAGTTGGAAGCAGTCCATGTTTGCCACCAACCAGGTCAGGCACCCAGAAAGGTAGGGATCCCAAGACAAACTACAGCTGGTTAAAAATTGCAAACCGAAAGCTGAACGAGCAAGCAGAACTCCCCAATCAGAAAATAAGCATGACGTTACCACAGCCACCGCGCTGCTTTCTGTGCAACTCCCCCCTCTCCCTGGGAAGGGGAAGGGACGGGTCCCAAACCTCAGTTCAGAGACTGAATATAAAAAACATGAAAAAGTGCCAACTGGAGGGAGGGAGGGTTGCCAGGGAGCTTCCAGGTCTCACCCATAAAATGGTGTTTTATTGCATTCAATGCTGGTTTCTATGGAGAACCCCTTCGGTTCTCTGGAGGTACCTAACCAAAAATGAGGTCCACCTCCTGGTGTTCATACATCCAGCAGGGCTAATTGAACGAGTCGGCATCGACCGTCCATTCCATGGAAAGGGAAATGAACAGGGACAGGCCGTCTGCCAGAACGTTAGATACCCTTTGAACGTGAACCACCAGGAGAGCCAAAACCCCTGAGAACTCAGCAGACAAGTTACCCAAAGAGACCAGCACCAAAGAGCCAAAGACAACATCGAGCCTCCTTGGTTCAGGCAATGAACTACCGGGAAGCAGTCCAAATGGAGCCGAATCGTTGAACTGCAAACGAACCGAACCCGAATACCACATCGTCGCAAACTCCCGCACCGTGCTCTAAGTCCGACAGAAGGAAGGACCCCACCACCCCTGGCTGGACTGGTTAGCAGTGGTCACAAAACCACATCCTAGAGACGATGTGTCTGTGAACACATCGAGCAAGGGCTCGGGTAGGTGTCATGGCACTGAACTCCAAAAAATCAGATGAGGAAGCCTGCGATGCAGCAGCCAACGCAAGGCCCCCGGGGTCCGAACCCAGTGATCGTGATAGTGGCAGAAGGGATGTCCCCGAAGGATCCCGAACAGCCGTTGAAGCTAGATCCAACCTGACAGGTAGACCAGCATGGTGAAGTTCAGACTCCTGCACAGCTGCTCCAACAACCGACAAGTGACCCAGGTGCCCTCCAAAAACAGATGAAGGCGGGACTGCAGCCACTGTAATGCTGCCAGAGGGAGAGGCAAGGAAGATGTCCAAGAGTCCCACACAATGCCCAGCCAAGTCCGAACCTGAGAGGGAACCAAATGGCACTTCCTCCAGTTCATTAAGAACCCGAACCCAGCGAGCAGTTACGAGGACCAGCTGGAAGCCTAGACCAGCCAGTTGTCGAGGTAAGCCAGTACCCAAACCCCCTAACAGATGCAAATGGGTTACCACAACCCGGGTAAGGCGTGTGAAAACATGAGATGTCAGATTCAAGCCGAATGGAAGGCAACGAAAACTAAGTCTATTGTCCCATGACAAAAACCGAGCCAGTCCCTGAACCCTAAATGAATCGTGACGTGCCAATACACGTCCCGGAGGTCCAGAGACACGATCCAAGTGCCCGGCTCCAAAAGCAGCAGGACCTGGAATAGTAGTCATCCGAAAGGAGAGGCAAAAGACCCAGGGGTTCAGACGGGACAAGTCCAGAATGAACCTCAGGTCCACACAGTCCCGTTTCGGAACTGAAAAGAGGCAGCGAAACCTACCTGACGGACTCATTCTTTTCGACCACACCCATGTGTACCCACTCCAGGATGACCCAACAAAGCACAGGGAAAGAGGTCAGCCTTGCCAGCCCCGAACCCCCCGAAGGAGGCGGAGCCACCCAATGCCACCGCAGGTTGAAGGAAACCTAAAACGCCCACGAATCATAGTACCAGGCGTAATCCTCCACCCCATCACCCTGACAACGTGGCGAACTGCAAAGGGGCTGACAACCCTTATAGGAACCCAACCGACGCTCTGAGCCAACCAGATATCGATAACATGGCAGGAGGGGTAGGGCCCCGAATCTGGCACCATTGGCTTACAACGACCAAAGGAACCTCAAGCCCTGGCATACCCTTCTGGCCAGGACCACCACGGCGCCCCCGGAAAACCAACAAGACCAACATAGGCCAACAACTAGACGAAGCCGTCTGCAGAAAATGCACCATTGTAGACTCTGCAAACAGCAACAGACAAAAAAGGGACAGAAATCTAAGAGCCAGGGCCCAAGCAGATTCCAAAGAATGGACGACCACTGCCTGTCGGCATGCGAGGCGAGAAGCAAAGAACAGAGACACCGCTTCCTTCAGAATCGACGCAAACACCCAAGCTGCCGAGGTAAGCACACCAGACACTAGCCTGGAACCCAACTCCTCCACATCCTCCTTGAGCCAGTCTGAAGACAACTCCAGCAGGGAAAAGAAGCGCAAGATTGAAGTCAAATGCCCACGGGCGCGCAAATCCTCAGCCACCAGGGACGCAGAAGGGAAGGGAACCTGCACGTGAAGCTGCACCTGGACAACATCACGAGGAAGGACGAGAGTGAACAAGCATGCATTGAGGTATTCCAACTCGCCCCCCCCCCCTGGTAAACCTGAACGATCGTAGTCAACTACCACCCCTTCAGCGTGCGAGGTCTGACAAAACACATGCCATGTCCCCAGCAAAAAGAAAGGGCAGTTTGCTAGGAAGACTGGCTTCCAGCCAGGAAGACTATGGCACCTCATAATGCACCCAGTAAGGAAAAGAGGAGACAAACTCAAAAGAAAAAGGATCCATTATTGAGATGTAATCTGGGTCACGCAGGAGGTAAGCCGCAAGGGTTTCCCACACCTCCCTCGGCGGGATGCGGGAAAGCCAAAAACCTTCAGGAGGAGGAAACCGAGGAACCCAAGGGAAACCCCTCCCACTGTAACAAGCCCCACGCTGAGGGTGCCAACACCCATGTGGGGTCAAACAGAGACCAAGCCTCCCCCCAGCTCAACTCCTCCCCAGCCCCGGGATCATCCATGGCAGGACCCGGGGCCGAGCGGTCCTCCAAACCACCTGCCTCTGGAGAAAAGGCAGAGTCCACCGGAAAAGCAGGGAAGAAGGGGGCCTGCTGGCATGACCCGAAAGCTTCGGCAGGAGGAACAGACTCGAATGCCTCCACCACCAATCCGGAAGGGGCTGTCCCCGAAGCCGCCAGAGTCTCAGCACCAAGAAAGCCCTGCCCTGACTCCGAAACCCTCATATGCTTGGGAGCCGGGAGCAGGTGGGGAAGTGGAAAGGATGAACCACAGCAGGAAAAGGACAATAGGGCATGGACGAAACCAAAGTCCAGGCGATTAACACCCCCAAGTCCGGGTCCCTATAACCAAATGGGGCATCTGGAAAGGCAACCAACCTTGCACGTTGCAGCAACCTAAACCTCGCATGCAATGCTGAAGCTGCCTGCACCCAAATATCAACATCAGTAGACTGGGTGAATTGGAGTACAAGCAGGGAACACCACTTGCAGGACTCTGGGTTAAAAGTGTCATTGACCCAACAGGCAGCATGGCAGAGGCAAAGATGGTGAGTGTAACCCTGAGACATGGGGGGACAGAGCAACCTTCAAACTCGCACGAAGCAAGATGGGACTCAAAGGACATATCCATTGAACCGATGACCCCCAATGAGGGTTTCCAGGGGACCTTAGGCTGACTGCTAAGGGAAGCCCAGGTATGGTACTGCTATTATGGAACCAGTTATCCCAGAACTACCAAACAAAATGCTGAACCTGTGATGTGTGCAATCACAGGGACCTAGCGGAGGGAGACCAAAATAATACAAGTGGTCCAACAGCCAGACCAGGCAGACCCCCACCAGGCAAAACAAAAGAAAATATACACCCTGCAAAGCACAATGTCTCCAGGAGGAACAGAACCGACCGCTATGCATATTATAAGACAGCTGCACAGTACCTTGCGCCCCTGCCAGTGACGAATCTATCTCCTACCCAAGGCCAAACGGGTAGGAAAATATCCCAACTGACCCCAGAGGCGGGCAATCATCAAGCAGCAATAGAACCCTGCGGAGGTAGCCCCCAGTAGCTCCCGAACAGTTTGTGGAAGGAAACCACAAACTGCAAGGGCAGTACTTATAGAGCACCTAGATCATCATCATATCATGATGTAACATCATACTTGTTTGCTAGTTTTCTGATTGTGGAGTTCTGCTTGCTCGTTCTGCTTTCGGTTTGCAATTTTTAACCAGCTGTAGTTTATTTTGGGAGTCCTACCTTTCTGAATGCCTGACCTGGTAGATGGCAGACATAGACTGCTTCCAACTACATAGGGGCCATTGCCATACAAGTCATTGCTCCTCATGCCTCTCTGAGGGGGGCCAGGTTCTGGCTTGTGGTTCCCGGTAGGCTTAGAGCTCCATCGATTGACTGTAGCCACGGTCTAATATATACAGATCAGCCCATATAGTTCCGGGGAGCCGAAAAGGCTCTCAACAAAATGGGTATCAGTGTGGGGAAAAATTACCACGAGAAACATTTGGAAAGCAAGACACACAAACATCCATATTAGATCAAAATATAATAATATTGTATAAAAAATAAACATACGAGAGAAATATAGCTAGCTGATTTGTTCCTGACAAAAGCAGATTGATCATATTACCTCAAGAGCTTGGCTAACTGGCCACTCAGGAGTTTGGCAAACTGGCCGCTCAAGAGCTTGGCTAACTGGCCACTCAAGAGCTTGGCTAACTGGCCGCTCAAGAGCTTGACTAACTGGCCACTCAAGAGCTTGGCTAACTGGCCGCTCAAGAGCTTGGCTAACTGGCCGCTCAAGAGCTTGGCTAACTGGCCACTCAAGAGCTTGGCTAACTGGCCGCTCAAGAGCTTGGCTAACTGGCCGCTCAAGAGCTTGGCTAACTGGCCACTCAAGAGCTTGGCTAACTGGCCACTCAAGAGCTTGGCTAACTGGCCGCTCAAGAGCTTGGCTAACTGGCCGCTGAAGAGCTTGGCTAACTGGCCGCTGAAGAGCTTGGCTAACTGGCCACTCAAGAGCTTGGCTAACTGGCCGCTCAAGAGCTTGGCTAACTGGCCGCTCAAGAGCTTGGCTAACTGGCCGCTCAAGAGCTTGGCTAACTGGCCGCTCAAGAGCTTGGCTAACTGGCCGCTCAAGAGCTTGGCTAACTGGCCACTCAAGAGCTTGGCTAACTGGCCGCTCAAGAGCTTGACTAACTGGCCACTCAAGAGCTTGGCTAACTTGCCGCTCAAGAGCTTGAGAAACTGGCCACTCAAGAGCTTGGCTAACTGGCCACTCAAGAGCTTGGCTAACTGGCCGCTTAAGAGCTTGAGAAACTGGCCACTCAAGAGCTTGGCTAACTGGCCACTCAAGAGCTTGGCTAACTGGCCGCTCAAGAGCTTGAGAAACTGGCCACTCAAGAGCTTGGCTAACTGGCCGCTCAAGAGCTTGGGAAACTGGCCACTCAAGAGCTTGGCTAACTGGCCGCTCAAGAGCTTGGCAAACTGACCACTCAAGAGCTTGGCTAACTGGCCGCTCAAGAGCTTGGGAAACTGGCCACTCAAGAGCTTGGGAAACTGGCCGCTCAAGAGCTTGGCAAACTGGCCACTCAAGAGCTTGGCAAACTGGCCACTCAAGAGCTTGGCTAACTGGCCGCTCAAGAGCTTGGCAAGCTGGCCACTCAAGAGCTTGGGAAACTGGCCACTCAAGAGCTTGGCAAGCTGGCCACTCAAGAGCTTGGCTAACTGACCGCTCAAGAGCTTGGGAAACTGGCCACTCAAGAGCTTGGCAAACTGGCTGCTCAAGAGCTTGGCTAACTGACCGCTCAAGAGCTTGGGAAACTGGCCACTCAAGAGCTTGGCAAACTGGCTGCTCAAGAGCTTGGGAAACTGGCCACTCAAGAGCTTGGGAAACTGGCCACTCAAGAGCTTGGGAAACTGGCCGCTCAAGAGCTTGGGAAACTGGCCGCTCAAGAGCTTGGGAAATTGGCCGCTCAAGAGCTTGGCAAACTGGCCACTCAAGTGCATCTCCAAGTCAACCCACATGTCAGTCACAAAACAAGACTTAAGAGGTTAATTCCTCTATCTTCCTAACCCTTTATACTTTGATTTATTTTGACTATAGTATCGTAAATTCCTGTAGTTACATAATTTTTACTGGTCAAAATGGTAAAATTAACTTTACCATTGAATTATAAAAACACTGCAACTACTCCCTATACAGCTAAATTAAGTTATACAAATTCTTATGGGATATTCACAACAAAATATGATGAACAGTTAAAAAACAACACATTGAGAGCAATTTAAAAAGGCAAGATTTTTTTTTACATTAATAGGGGTCACATTACTACATGGGAGTATTTTAACACAGGCTTCCAGACTGACAACATCTTAGCAACATACAAGGATGGTAATGTTAGTGTGACAATAATGGCAACAGGTTAAAATAAAAATTAAATCATAATATTTTTTTAAACATCATGTTCCAACAGCATAAAGTTCTCAGCCTGATGGTCGTCAGTTTTCACTATGAAATATAATGATGAGCTTTCCTCAGTCCAAGACATGATGACTGGAACCTTCCTCAGCCCAAGACAATGACCAATGACTGGGGTCTTCACCAGAGCCCAAGATAATGACTGGAGTCTTCACCAGAGCCCAAGATAATGACGGGTCTTCACCAGAGCCCAAGACAATGACTGGAGCCTTCACCAGAGCCCAAGATAATGACTGGAGTCTTCATCAGAGCCCAAGAGAATGACTTGAGTCTTCATCAGAGCCCAAGACAATGACTGGAGTCTTCATCGGAGCCCAAGATAATGGCTGGAGTCTTCATCAGAGCCCAAGACAATGACTGGAGTCTTCATCGGAGCCCAAGATAATGACTGGAGTCTTCATCAGAGCCCAAGACAATGACTGGAGTCTTCATCAGAGCCCAAGATAATGACTGGAGTCTTCATCAGAGCCCAAGACAATGACTGGAGTCTTCATCGGAGCCCAAGATAATGGCTGGAGTCTTCATCGGAGCCCAAGACAATGACTGGAGTCTTCATCGGAGCCCAAGATAATGACTGGAGTCTTCATCAGAGCCCAAGACAATGACTGGAGTCTTCATCAGAGCCCAAGATAATGACTGGAGTCTTCATCAGAGCCCAAGACAATGACTGGAGTCTTCATCAGAGCCCAAGATAATGACTGGAGTCTTCATCAGAGCCCAAGACAATGACTGGAGTCTTCATCAGAGCCCAAGACAATGACTGGAGTCTTCATCAGAGCCCAAGACAATGACTGGAGTCTTCATCAGAGCCCAAGACAATGACTGGAGCCTTCACCAAAGCCCAAGACTCGCAGACAAAACAGCACCACTACAAGTACGCCACTTCTAGCCCTTCTCTTCGGTGAAACATACATTCTAATATACATACTATAATTCATAATGAAATTTTAATTAAAACAGTTTCATTCATGCATTTTATGTATTTTAGCAACTTGTAAGAGCAATGTTATGAATGGTAACAGATAAAGGCAAGTACTTATACAACTCTGTGAAACACCCTCGATGTGTCTTGTGATATAATTAACAACTATAATTTCACTAAACCTCCACCTTTAGCAATCTATAAAAATGATATAAAATACACAGAGAAAGCAGCAAAATATACTGACATGGTATTAGTGGCACCATTTACATCATCACAATACTACTCAAGTCAATGCAAAGCTCAGTGAGTAATAAATATAAAATTATAATAGGATAGCAATTCACTTAATTGGTGGTAACCTACACCTTTCTCAACATGGTTATTACTGTACTAAGAAAATAACAAATACTGTTATTACTAAGAGGCAGTGTGCTTTATCTCAGCTAATCTTCTAACACATGTTATCTTAAATTGCTATTACTAATAAATAAGAAAACTACAACTGCATTTTATAATTCATAATACAGTACATACAGTATTGATTTGTTCGTGTACCTTAAAAATAGCTTTGAGTTGCAAAACCAATTTAGCCCCTTTTAAATGTAGAATGCATAGGATAAATGACTAAACTTGAAGCACAAATTCTACAAACCCCCTTCTTTAAATGTAAGCAAAATAGGTTATCCATTTATTTACACTAAACTTTTCTATATCACAAGTATATTTTCACCTTGTATACCAAGGCTGATGGAAGTGGGGAACAGCAGTTCCATGATGACTGAACTTGCATCTAATCCAGTATGGACATCATCTACTGCAAGAGACGAAGGTGTAGGGCTCTAAGGTGATCCGGCTGGAGAACAACTGGTATGGGCTCATTTGATGCTGACTTGGAAATTGACCCTGGCACTCTGACACATCCAATTTGCACCAATTCCTGCTCAGCCAGTACCTGTTGATTGCCAAATTTTGAAATTAAGAAACCAGCATTGAATGTAATGAAACATCAATTTCCAGGTGAGTCCCAGTGGGTCCCTGAAGCTACTGTCTCTTGATGGTGTGCCATATTACTAGGTCCCATCAGTCATGAGGTTCTATGGCCTACTGCAGATGAAGAGCCAAAACCTAGTCCCCCCCCCCCCAAGAGGTGCAGGGAGCAGTGGCATTTATTTATTTATTTATGCTACCATCAAGGAAGGTGCCCAGAAAGTTAGCAATAAAAAACAAACCACTGCTGGCTTCAAACAAGACTGAAGCTTCAACAACTGGTAATAGCTTTACTAATGACATTTTCAGGGGAAGCCCGTGCCCCAGAAAACCGACCCTCCGATAGAGGCAGAGCCCTGGAAGAAAGATCAGGTTTGGACACCGAGCAAGCAGCACTTGAAACCAAGGCTGGACTGGCCACCAAGGAGCCAGAAGGATCACTCTTCCCATGTAAGACTCCAACTGCACCAGGATCTGGAGAAACAGCCGGATTAGGGGTAAGAGGTATGCAAACCCCCACCTCGATCAGTCCAGCTAAAAGGCACCTACTGCGCACAGCTTCACGATTGTGGAATGGAGACTTCTCACATAATTTATAGGTTGTGTGCGGTCTATGTTCTCCTATTCCACATTCCATAACATGGCATTTATTCACATTAAATTCCATTTGCTAAGTGGTGCTCCATATATTTATTTTGTCCAGGTCTTCTTGAAGGGCATGACAATCTTCTAGGTGTCTTATTTTCCCTATTATCTTAGCATCATCAGCAAACACGTTCATATAATTCTGTATTCCATCTGGTAGATCGTTTATGTAGACAATGAACATTACCGGTGCAAGAACTGAACCCTGTGGTACCCCACTTGTGACATTTCTCCAATCCGATACATTGACTCTGCTTACGGCCCTCATTTTTCTATCAGTTAGGAAATTTTTCATCCATGCTAGAAGCTTACCTGTCACCCCTCCAATATGTTCCAGTTTCCAGAACAACCTCTTATGTGGAACTCTGTCAAAAGTCTTTTTTAGGTTCAGATAGATGCAGTCAACCCAACCATCTCTTTCCTGTAAAATCTCTGTGGCTCGATCATTGAAACTGAGTAAATTCATTACACAGGATCTTCCAGATCGAAAACCATACTGTCTGTCTGATATTATATCGTTTTTCTCCAGGTGTTCTACCCATTTAGTTTTAATTATTTTTTCCAATATTTTGACTATTACACTTGTCAATGATACAGGTTTACAATTGAGGGGGTCTTCCCTGCTGCCACTTTTGTAGATTGGGACGATGTTTGCCTTTTTCCACACATCAGCTACAACTCCTTTACACAGAGGGTTTAGTGAAAGACTTGCGCAAGGATAAGAATCAATTGGAAACAAATTGCAAAGCCATGGAAGAAGAAAATAAACTCTTAAAAATAGCTTTGGAAGAAGTTAAAGTAAATTTAAAAATAAATGACTACAATAGGTTAGGTAAGGAAATTCAACAGGGGAAACAGCTTTTGTCAGCACAGATGGAGGAAGTTACACAGGGAATAGAACAGTGCAAGAAAGATATGCAACTCACCTATGCACAAGTGGCCAAGGAGAAGGAAAAAATTAAAGAAGCAGTAAAGGAAGCCAAACACTGCAGCAACCAAGATAAAACAAACATTAGACTGGAAGTGAGAAAAGAATTGGCTTCTAACCCGAAGTTGGTGCAAAACACAGTTGATCGGAGTAAGTCCCTGATCATTTTTGGATACAAAGAAAAGGAGATAACATCTAGGTCAGAAAGAGCTGTAGAAGCCAAAGTAGTAGATAAAATTGTTGGCCTCGTGGAAGGTCTTACAACCATAGAGAATGTGTGCGACTACAGGAGAATAGGCAGATATGTAAAAGGGAAAGATCGACCTTTGAGGATCACCCTAAATGGTGCCAAACAGATGGAAGAAGTACTAAGGAATGCTAGAAAATTACAAAGTGATGAGGATGGGAAAGTGTGGTCGTTAAGACGAGATCTTTCAAAAGAAGACAGAGAGAAGCTGAAACTAAACCTCGCCGAGGCAAAACGTTTAAATGAGAGCAGGAATGAAGAAGAAATAAATTTTTTTTTTTCTACAAAGTGATAGGGGTAGGCAGACCAGTAAAGTGGTACATAAAGGCAAACCAACAAAATCATTAGAGAGAGGGGGGAGTGAAAAATAAGAATAGGGGGAACAAGTTCCTGAAGATTGCATACACCAACATAGATGGAGTAAGATCGAAGATACTGGAGTTAAGTGATGTAATACAGCTGCAGACACCAGACATTGTTGCACTCACAGAGACAAAACTTGAAGATGTTATTTTAAATGAGGTCATATTCCCAAGGGGCTACTCAATTTGGAGACGGGACAGAAAAATTAGGAAAGGTGGTGGCGTTGCTGTACTGGTGAAAGAACACCTAAAGGTGAAGGAAATAATGACTGCCAATCCACAAGAAGTTGACATAATAGCACTAGAGATCTGCCATGAGGATGATAAACTAATGATCATAAATGCATATAGTCCACCGCCAAGCAGCACATGGTCAAAGGAGGAGCTAGATAGTAAACGAGAAGGTCTTATAACAATAATGAGAGAGATCATAGCGAGAGCGGATAACGATAGTTCACGACTGTTGATAGTCGGCGACTTCAACTTGAAATCCATAAACTGGGAAGCATATGAAGCTAAAACAGAAGATTTTTGGACCTGTAAATTTGTAGACCTCATCCTGGAAACATTCTTGTATCAACATGTTAAACAAGCTACGAGGATGAGGGAAGGGGACGTTCCCTCCATGCTAGATTTGATATTTACCAGGAAAGAGGAAGAAATATTTGACATTCAGTACCTTCCTCCCTTGGGTAAAAGTGACCATGTCTTTTTGGGAATAAAGTATGCAATGCGTTATAATTTGGAAGAAAATATGATAGTTGATGAAATTGAAAAACCTGACTTTAGGAGAGGACATTATGGCAACCTTAGAAATTTTTTTAGTGTGTATAATTGGACAGACTTGTTGCTAGGCAAGGAAGTGAATGAGATGTATGTCAAGTTTTGTGAAATATATGATGAAGGCACAAAAAAATTTATACCAAAACAGAGATGCAGAACTAGGAAACATGATTGGTTCAACAGAAATTGCGAGAGGGCCAGAGACCAAAAGACACAAAAATGGAATCAATACAGGAAGAGGCCAAACCCCCAAACATACCAGCGATACACAGATGCGAGAAACAACTACACGACAGTGATTAGAGAGGCAGAAAGAAATTTTGAAAAAGGGATTACAGACAAATGTAAAACAGAACCAGGTCTATTCTATAAATTCATAAATAACAAATTGCAGGTAAAGGATAATATTCAGAGATTGAAAATGGGAAAGAGATTCACGGAAAAGGAAATGTGTGAAACATTAAACGAAAAGTTCCAAAGTGTGTTTGTATAAAATGAAATCGTCAGGGAACCAGATACAATAAGAATTCCAGAAAACAACATAGAGCACATAGAGGTGTCTAGAGACGAAGTGGAAAAAATGCTCAAGGAGCTAAATAAGAACAATGCAGTTGGTCCAGATGGAGTTTCACCATGGGTTCTGAGAGAACGTGCACCCGAGCTCAGCATTCCTCTTCAACTGATCGAAAACCATACTGTCTGTCTGATATTATATCATTTCTCTCCAGGTGTTCTACCCATTTAGTTTTGATTAGTTTTTCCAATACTTTCACTATTACATTTGTCAATGATACAGGTCTATAATTGAGGGGGTCTTCCCTGCTGCCACTTTTGTAGATTGGAACTATGTTAGCCTGTTTCCAAACGTCTGCTACGATTCCTGTACACAGGGATGCCTGAAAGATCAGGTGAAGTGGAATGCTGAGCTCAGGTGCACATTCTCTCAGAACCCATGGTGAAACTCCATCTGGACCAACTGCTTTGTTATTATTTAGCTCCTTTAGCATTTTCTCCACTTCATCTCTAGACACCGCTATGTGCTCTATGCTGTTCCCATCTCCCCAGCACTCTGTCATATAATGCTTTTAAATTACTGATGGTTTTGGCCTCCACCACCTTCTCACCTAACTTGGTTCAACTGTCTACCACTCTGTTTACAAAAGTGAATTTTCTTATATTTCTCCAGTAGCTTTGTTTCGTTAGTTTAAATCTATGACCTCTTGTTCTTGAAGTTCCGGGCCTCAGGAAATCTTCCCTATCAATTTTATCGATTCCTATTACTATTTTGTACGTAGTGATCATACTGCCTCTTTTTCTTCTATCTTCTAGTTTTTGTATATTTAATGCCTCTAACCTTTCCTCGTAACTCTTGTCCTTCAGTTCTGGGAGCCACTTAGTGGCATGTCTTTGCACCTTTTCCAGTTTATTGATGTGCTTCTTAAGATATGGGCGCCATACAACCGCTGTGTGGAGCATTCTATGTCTTCCATCGACTGGGCCGGGCAACCAGAAAGGTAGGCGCCCCAAAACAAACCCCTAATCTGGTTAAAACTACTACAGAAAGCTAACAACTAAACAGAATTCCCCAATTGAAAAACGAGCAAACGAGCATGACGTCACATTTACCGTGCCGTTTGTCTGCACAGCTCCCCTCTCCTCGAGAGGGGGAAGGGAGAGCCCCAGACCGATCGCACCGGCTATCCACTTGTCAGTTCGAAGCTGGATGTCAAAACACACGAAAAACCCCGCCGACCAGGGGGAGGGAGGGTTGCCGAGGAGCCTTCAGATCTCACCCAGTAAATGGCATTTCATTACATTCAACGCTGGTTTTACGAGGGATGATACATCAGCTCCCCGGAGCTTCCTACCCAAAGCCAAGGAGAAAAGAGGGACAAACCCGGGAGGCAGAAACCACGCGCCTAAAACCCGAAAGTAAAACAACAGGCAAAACCGAAAGGACCCTGCGGACGACCCGGGAGACCCAAACCCCAGAACAGGGA